CGAGGATCATCCAGCGCCTAAAGTCCGCTCAGCCTCAAGCGGGCTTCGACCAAGACGCGGCGAAGTTCAAGGAACTGGCCGACGCGCCGACGCAGGACAGCAGCGCCAGGGAAGCCCCAGGAGCCGAACCACCGCAGGAGGATGGACGGCTCTCTACGATCCATGAGGCACCAGAAGCGGACCTTGAGGCACATGTTTTGGAAGTGCGGTGCAAAGAGCTACATGGAGAAAGAGAACTATTGGAGGCAACTCCACTAGATGACCATTATAATGTAACCACACATGCGATCACTGAACAGCGGGGGCACCTGCCTGCGCGGGGCCATCCACGCGACTCTATGTTCCACAGGCGAAGACCATACTTACGGAGTGGACTCGGACGAAAACGGTCAACACATAGAACTTTGTTTTGCTGCAGAAATGTCAAAAGGTAGTCCTATCCTAACAACAAGACAGGATATTGGACTTCGACCGTCCGACCACCATGCGAGTATATGTAGCCGCGGCCGCAAGACGAGCTGCGGTCGTCAAGGAGGACGATCTCCTCGCGAAGGTCGACATTGATGCGAACCCAGTTAAGGCATCGAAGGCCATGTATGCTCAAGACACGGTTTGACAACAAGTGTTTCGAGATGCAAGGTATATCCAAGGCGTCGAACATCATGACTTCGAGGCGCGCATATAGGTGGAAGTCCGTAAAGAACGAAAATGGCGAGATGGAACGTGCCATCATATTGCGCCTGGCACTCCGGGGATTTCATGGGCTTCGAGGCTATCGATGTGGAAACATTCTCAGGAACAGCACGGACGAAAGTCAGGGATTGTTCGCAAGCGCGGCAGCGCGCAAGGGGTAATGGATCATTGCTTCCCTTGACATCAACATGACTGTCCTGGAAGGGTTAACCTGCCAGGAACTTGCTGAGGCAACCGGTGAAAATGAAAGCGCGGCGTGCTCTACCTTGCCACTTGGGTCAGCATCGGCGCTTCGATCCCTCCCAGGACTCGAGCACTACGATGAGTCGAAGCACTGCTCGCAGCGCCTCGAGCCAGGCACCGGCGCCAGGGATGCACCCAGAGCCTCCTCACTGAAGCTCAGAAAGACCTCGAGAGGCTCGGGTCTCATACCCACGTCCCGCGACGAGGAGATCGACACAAAAAGTAACATTCTCGCAGCCAAACATGTTGATTATATCAATATGGCCAGCACTGAGGACACCATCGACCATTGCCCCGGGTGCGTCGAGGCTGCTTTTGGCAAGTGTAAACCCAACCAGCACACATATACCAATTGTACCATGAGATGCACCAAGGATGGGGGCGGTAATGTTATACTGGATCCAGTTGGATACATCAAGCAGCTCCGCCCTGCACAACATCCTGAACAAAGGCGCAGACGCCGACGCGAAAGCATCAGAGATGGTTGTTGACATGTCTGTCAGCCTGAGAGGCGCGTTGGCTTGCGCATTAATCACGCAGGTGTGGTTGATGGTACGTGTGGTCTCTCTACAAAGTGTTCAAGAACCGACCAACTTACACGTGCGACGACTGAGCGCGATTACCAGGAAGCTGCAGGCCCGCCATAAGAAGATCGTCTATCGATCGATGACTCCAACGGGCGAAGTTGACCTGCACAGTGGCTCTGGCTATCGACGTTGTAGTGGAGATGCCAGCGATGAGGTAAAGGGCTACGGTATTCGCGGGGCAAACCTGCTACGGCGTGGAAACACGCCTACTGGCACGCCTGTCGTCCATCTGATCGATGCGCACTGCAAGTCTCGCCGCTTGCGAGCCCGCTCAAGCTATTCAGCAGAAGCACGAGCGGCAGCCCGTAGCCTGGAGGACTGTATTCCCACGATCGTTACTCTGCGCGAATTCCACGCAGGACCACTGACACCCACTCAGTTGAAAGACGTACTGGAGATGGGAGGCCTGAGCATGAAGGTCACTGTGACCATAGAGGCCGAATCTGTCTTCAAGTCCTTGTCAAGCAAAGACCTGTAAAACAACAAAAAAAAAACGACTGAGTGTACACTTTCAGGACACATCAGTTGGACACGACAGGATGATGGAGCGAGGTATCGTGCATAGTATTCAGTGGCGTGGCACTCGCGACATGACTGCGGACGGTCACAGAAAGGGGAGAATTGATAGAGATACGTTCCTACAGGCCAAGGGAAGAACGCGATCCTTCAAACATGGTTTAAAACGTCATACTCCGTACCGGGCCGGCCAGACGACATCGTCTGAGGCCGCCTGAGTAACATGCGCTTATACAGCGATCTGCTCGCAAACAACTTGCGCGCAAGGGCACTTGCTTGCGGGTTCAGTGTCTTTTGTTGTTTTTTGTTCATATAGTGTTGTCGCCTAGTGAACCTGTCTTTTACTTTTTTGTTTACATGTAGCGTTTAATGTATTGTGGTGGCGGACTCACGCTTCGTCTCCCCCCTCCCCGACTCTGAAGTGAGCTGAGATAAGGGCGAGAGATAGCGAGTGTTTGTCCGCGGCCGCTTGGGGTCAAGCGGCCGGTCGCCAATATATGACTGCGCCTCATCGCGAGGCACACTAGTTGCCCTCGAGACCGAAAACCTCTTCGCTTGATGTGGCCCGTCGCTCCCGCGACGACCTCCTATGTCTGGGATTATCGCTACTACGTTACGGCAGAGTTGTATATGGGCTTCGTCTTAGGCGAAGCTGCTGGTCGGGCCTCCCAACCCCCTTCAAACTCTTGGGGCCATCTTGGAGGCGGTCGGTGAAAAGAGGGGGGTCGTAAATGTAGCTCCCCCCCTCGGGGGCCACGATCCTCGTGAGTGGTGTCAAAAATGTCCCCCCCCCCCCAGGGAGGGGAGGGAGAGTTCCCCTCCCCGAAGGGAAGAGGGTTTGTGGAAGAGGAAAAAGACCCTCCTTAGACCACCTGTCGCCCGAAAAACTTGTGGGATTTTTGGATTTCCAGATTCCAATCTACGTGAAACGCCTTCCTACTTCAATGAGTGAGTGGCTACACCTTCTCCGTCCTCTATACGGGGCGGACGGAACCAATCTACGTTCAACGCCTTCCTACTTCATGTTCTTCCGACCGATGGGAAGGGGGGGGGCAGGATCGGCGGGGGGGGATGCGTCGACCCCTGATGGCCCATGGATCGTCGACAGGGGCCGGGTGCCCTCCCAGCCCCTGACCGTGCGGTGTCGTTGTCGGGGCACCGTCGCCGATCTTCGCGTCTCGGAGCGTGTCGCAGTTTCTGGGTCGGTGTTCCTCCTCCTCCTCCTCCTCTTCCTCCTCCTCCTCCTCCTCCTCCTCCTCCTCCTCTTCCTCCTCCTCCTCCTCCTCCTCCTCCTGCTCCTCCTCCTCCTCCTCCTACTCCTCCTCCTACTCCTCCTCCTCCTCCTCCTCCTCCTCCTCCTCCTCCTCCTGGCACCACCACTGCGCGACGCGCGTCGGGTCTGGGCCCGTCCACCGCGCGGCGGGCGCCCGCGGCCGCGGCCGTCGGCGATCGCGCCCGAGGACGAGGGGGGGCCCAGCACCATCCACCAGAACAGCACCTGCCCTCCTCCGAGGGCACACGACGAGACGAGAGGAGGAAGCGACGGACGACGGCCTTCCCGGGGCGTCGGGGCAGGATGGCCCCCGCTGCTCCCTCGGGGAGGCCACCAGGCGCCCCGGGCAGCCGCCAGGGATCACCTTCGGTGGCCGCCAGCCTCCGCCCACCTCGGCGGGCGGCACGCTCATCACACGAGGAGGCATCGACGCACAGGTACACCGAGTGTTTGGCCGCGCCTCCGGAGGGAACAACCAGGCGTGCAATCCCATATCAAGCAGATTGCAGGCCAGAAGACTGCCATATGCTGGGAGATATGGCCTGCATTGTGGTCGCCTGCCGTCGAGGGAGTATCCAAGAGTATGGAGAACTCTACGCCAGGAAGTATCACCATGAATGGGACCGCTGCTATGCCACACCGGGGTAGACCCAGCCTCCAGTGGCGCGAGAATGTAAGCGTGAAGGAAGCAGCGGGCGCTTACAGGCCCTAGACAGAAGCAGACCGTAAGCCTGAGAGACTACCATAGGGTAAGTGACATAGCGTGCATTGTGGTCGCTGCCTGCGTGGGAGCAACCTAGCGTGGGGGACCATGCCAGGAAGCACCACCAAAGGTGACGATCCACTGCCATGCCACACCTGGGTAGGCCTGGCCTCCAGTGGCGAGAGAAATGCAACATAATGTGAGCAGCGGGCGGTTCCAGGCCCCAGACGCGGCACGAGAAGAGTAATCAGGAGGTGCAAGGCTTGGAGTCATGGATCGGACCAGCCGCCCAGGAACCCCCTCGGTGGCCGCCAGCCTCCCGCCCACCTCGACGGGCGGCACGCTCACCACCCGAGGGGGTCACAACGTACCGGTACACCCAGAGCATGGCCACACCGTCGTAGGGACGGCCTCCAGTGGCAGAAGCAGGAATTCCCAGATGCAAACTGGCGCCTCCTGTGGGAGCACCAGGCGTACAGAACCATGCCAGGCAGACCATCCTGACATAACAGACCCATCCAGCGGTCAGGAAACTTGCCCGAATGGGCTCTGGAACCCCCTCGAGGAAGAGGTCGAAGTAGGGCCTACCGGCCGAAAAGATGACTACATAGGTGTTGTCACTGCACATAGGTGTTGTCACTGCACGTCACTATGCCTCGTGTCAGGAGAAACTACCATTCCAGACAATCTTCGGATGCCTCTGATTGTCGAGGGCTGCCAAGTGGTGTGTTGTGCGCCCGCGCCCCTCGCTCGGTCGGTGCGACGCTTGCGAAACGCATACCTGTTCTAGCGTGACAGGTACGTAACACGCTGCTTTGTCGAATGATCTCCCATGGCTCCCGTGCACTTGTATCCAGCCATCGCCCGTGTCAGTGCCTGTGAATGTGGAGTCCCACGGTTGATACCAGGTAGGGTGTTGGTCCTTTAGACATTTGGAAAGGCGAAATGGCACTCCTTTGCGGGACGGCGAAGTTAGCTTCCGCACCCGTATGCAGTGCGCAGTGTCCGCTACCTCATCCCCCACAGTGTAGCCCTGAGTTGCGAGCTCGTCCGCGGAGTAGCCCGACGTCAAGGCATCAGCAATCTCGTCCACGGGGTAACCTTGCAAGGCAAGACGCTCAATGCTCCGCTGCTCCTTCTCCAGCAGGTGGAACTCCAGGTTTGCCAGCTTTGAGATCATGACCCACGCCACTGGCTCCGAGGGCGCTTCTACTCCTATAGCAAGATGAGCATCCGGAGTGTCCTCGTCGTCCTCCGGGTCTCCGTCGACACCAGTGGATAGGTCGCCGCCAAGGTTGCTGCCTGCTGCTGGCGCCCCGGATGGGCGCGGTGTGCCCCGAATGTCCTTGACGGGACGGCGCGCTCATCTTCCTTCGTGTCCAAATAGTATTCATATTCGGAGGTCTCAGGCTGCCGAGGGATGCCTGTTGGAAGCGACCCCAGCAATTGATGATGCTCTTGGCCTGGGTAGAAATCGGATGCCGCGCGCCGGAAACACTGCACGGGCCCAGGGGAGGGCTGTGTTGAGGGCGCAGACTTCACAGGCCCCTCCATCCTCTGGCCCGTGCCATAACTGAGCTCATCGTCGTACCAAATCTCATAAGATTGCCTCCAATCATCTAAATCTGGCTGCTCTTGAACGCATTGGTCTAGCTCGTCATTGTAAGCGCTCTGCTGCACGTCATGGTTGTCGATCAGGCACCCGTCGTAGAACAGGCGCGTTTCCTGCACGGAAAAAACAACAGGCGCGTTTCGGGGGCCTCGGTTCGCAGCTGGGACACCGGTGCTTCCTTCTGTGCGGCGTCGTTTGTGGTTTGTGTGCTGTTGCTGCACGCCACAATGTTCCGATATCTCCAGCGCGCACACGTGTGTCTTTGCGGCACGCATAGCCAAGCCTCCGAACCGCAGCGCGGAGGTGCCTCACCGTAGTGTCATATTTCGTCATGGCGTATCAGGAGCTCTGCTCGCACGTCGTTCACGGACTTCTGCAGCAGCTGTACCTGCTGGTCGCGCTCGCAGCCAGGCCTGCAGCAGGGATAAGCAGAGACGTGTCCAAGGTTGAGCTTTTTCAGCGTGCCCGTGACACACCGGAATGTACCCGAAGCGGCCGGACCTCGACAACCTCGCAGTGCAGTCCCGCAGCGCCGCGCCGAGAGCGAGGCGGGGCGCGGGGGGTGCCACCCCCGCGTCTATGGCCGATGGGCGGGGTGGCGCGCGGGCCGCCTTGGCGCCTCGCCTGGGCGCCGCCGCGAGGGGCCTGGGACCTGTTCCCACCATGCCTCGGGCGGATACGTCTCTCCTCCTCCTCCTCCTCCTCCTCCTCCTCCTCCTCCTCCTCCTCCTCCTCCTCCTCCTCCTCCCCCTCCTCCTCCTCCTCCTCCTCCTCCTCCTCCTCCTCCTCCTCCTCCTCCTACTGCGAGCGCGAAGACACATGGCAACGTTCTGGGGGTCCCCCTCGGAAAACCAAAAGGTACCGATACCGCTGCTCCCGGGGCCTTCCCCCGGGCGCGTTCTGACCAGGATTTCGAGACGAATTCAATCTAGCGGTGGCGACGAAGGCTTCCCAGGAGGCCCAACAATGGGAAAACGAAGGAAGGGCAGCCGTATCGGTACCTTTTTCTCTTCGAACCTCTTTTGCTAGACCCCCGGAGGGCGACTCCACAGGAGATCACACGGGCGATGTAGGCCATGAACCTTGGCGGCGCGCACAGGTGGGTGGGGGGAGGGGGGAGTGCTTCTTAGAAGGAAGTTGTTTCTTAGAAGGCAGCGGCCCTGTATCTACAGATAAGGCCCGCGCCGTCTAAGAATCAGGGTGTTTCTAAGAAAATCTCCCCCCTCCCACCTCTGCGCGTGGCTGAGAGGCATCAGCCTTCAAGGCGCTCGACCTTCGAGCTTCACGCGGGGCCCACTGCCGCCCGACTCGAGACAGCGGCGCCCCTCAAAGCGCAAGGAGCCCAGCCCTTCCAGATCCTCCCTTCGAATCTCCACTCGCGCAAAAGTGATGCCCACACGCGCGTACCTGCCGTCACTGAAGGTTGACGATAGTATCGTCCACAAAGGTTGACGGGAATTCGTAGAGATTCTCATTCCAGAGGCAGAATTTCTGCAGCGACAGATGGTGCAATTCTTTCCAGAGGTTTGCCCGCGATGAAGAGCAAATTCCGCATGGAGCCACTGCAGAAACATGTCGTCCTCCTCCCTCATTTTCCTCTGCGCGGCCCCTCCCCTTGAGTCGATAGAGGGACCGGCCCAGGGGTTGCAGGGGGGAGCAGGAGGAGGAGGAGGAGGAGGAGGAGCAGGAGGAGGAGGAGGACTGCATGCTGGCGCCCCGGGCGTCCCCCCGCTGCCCCCGCGCAGGTGTGCTCCACGTGGGGTGTGCCGTGTTGTGCTCGTCCCAGTTCCTTATCATCTCCTCTCCCTCCTCATTCCTCGTCGCCCTCCTCCTCCTCCTCCTCCTCCTCCTCCTCCTCCTCCTCCTCCTCCTCCTCCCTCCTCGTCGCCCTCCTCCTTCTCTCTTGCCCTCGTTGCCCTCACCTCGTCCTCCTCCCTCGTGCCCTTGTCGCAACAGTGGGCTTTTAGGAAGACCTCCCCCACTGGCGCTGGGTCAGCCCAATTACGCAATGCGGCGGGAAGATTGGGAAGAGGTATCGGTAATCGGTATCGGTAAGAGTCGACTCGTTGCCGGAAATTGGGAGGAGGGAGGAAAGGAGAGGAAGAGGAGAAGGAGGAGGAGGAGGAGGAGGAGGAGGGGGACGAGGAGGAGGAGGAGGAAGGAGGAGCAGGTGGATGGGGGATGGGGAGGAGGAGGAGGGATGATCAGACTGAGGAAAGAGGAGGTGCGCATGAGTGGAGGTGGGAGGCGATCGAGGTGAGGAGGGAGGGGCTAGGCGAGGTTGGGCTGGCGAGGTCGACTGGCTCAAGCTGTACCCCGACAACTTCGCCCTCACCTGCAACGATGGCGCGCCCTACTCTTGATGAGCACAGCAGAGCCCTTAGGTGTCTCTCAAAACGGCCAGGGCGTTGTTCCGCCCTTTCCAGTCCGATCCTCAGGACCACGGAAGCAAAAGGAAGATCGAAGGTGAACAAGAAGCACATGAGTTGTGAGCAGTATCGTAAGTATTGAATCAGTGAAATGCGGTTCCCGAAACCGCAGGAGCAGTCAAGCCTTCACAGAGCTAAGGCCGCAGTTTCTGGCAGCGCACGGAACGTGCTTCCAGACAGCGGCGTGGGCGGGCGACGGGGCATGCGGAGGGCTGAAACGGAACGAAACCTTTTTAGAGGGAAAGTACAGTTCTCGTTTCTGCAGAACCGTGTGCAGATTTCCAGAACACTGGAATATAAAGGAACGGCACACAAAGGCAACATGTGGCACGTCAGCTTGTGGAGCATGCGTTTAGCATTGAGGCAGAGAACCCTGAACGGCAGAACAACCTACAGTGGGGGGTCCATGCCAAGAAACACACTGCCTGCCTCCAGGGTGCCCTGGGTTTCGTGGATTCCGATGGTTTTGCGATGGGAAGCGTGACGCCCCCATAACAAAAATCGATGGACGTCTTGGGGTCTCAGGGTTTGGGTTATTGTGGAAGGTTTTTTGTAGTCGGGCCTCCACTGTAGTAGGCATAGCATCTCATCACATTGCACATACAGGTGAGCATGCAGGCGAGCATACTTGCGGGGGGACCAGGCTTGAGGTGTGATGCGAGACCTTACGGGAGAGCAAACAGGAAACCATTTGGCCACTGATTCGGGACCCGACGAGATTCACACCCAGCCTTCGAACAGTCACACGATAGTTTTCCAGACAAGCTGATCCCAGTGGAGCAAGAGGTCCTGATGATGATACATTCCAAGATTTCTATAGGCGTACGCCACATCCGCCGACCCCTTGATCGACTTTGGGATGTCGTGTTGCTGTCATGGGGCGTACGTGTGTTGTCTTGTTTCTTTGGGTGGGCGGGCTCCCTCCGTAGACAGTAGCACTGTCGCGCGCGACGAAAAGAAGGGCACCCTGGAATGCAAGGCATGCGAATGATACCCATGCGAGCGCCGATGCCACGATCCGTAGAAGTACGACCAAAGGGGGTGAGAGCGAGAGGGAGGACGAAGCCGATTAATGAGGAAAACCAAGCAGGAGAAAGCGAAAGAGGAGGAGGAGGCGGGTGAGGGTGGGGGAGAGGCGGAGGAGGGTCATCGGAGAAGGAGAAGGAGAAAGAGGAGGGACGATTTGGTTTGGAGGCGTGTACTCATGTCTCTGGTGGCATTTCGAAAAGATGTCCGACACTTCGGACAGCGTGTGCGTCGCCCTGGATGTCGAGACCCTGTGCAGGTGTCTGGACCGTGAAATTTGTCATGGCCGTCGGTCCAAACAGGCTTGGTAGGGGGTCGCAATCAGAGGGGTGTTTCGCGGGGTCTTCGGAGCGCTCTGGAGGCGAGGGCAATGTCAGATGGTGGGGGGATACTGCGTGGTCAGTGCGTTTTTCGTGGCCGACCTTCGAAGCGTCCGCCGTACAGACATGGATAAATACTTGCGAACACCCGCGCTCGTAAACAGCAGGTGTCGGTCCAAAACCAGACGAGTGGTGCTCGAATGGGACGCCGCGCATCCCGCCAATTCGCTTGGGTTGCAGGTTTGCGGCCGCACGTTTGGTTAAGAGGATCTCGTGGGAGGCTGGACGGGGTCGTCTTGCAGGTAGTTGTGAGGCCTCTTGGGGGGCTTCCTTGGGGCTTCGTGGAGACTTCGGAGGTTTTCTTGGGGGTCCCTCGTAGCCTTTTGGGGCGTGCTTGGAGCAGGCTGGGGGCGTCTCGGGGCCGAAGGATCGCAAAGGTGCCCTCTGGACTCTGTCTTGGAGCCGTCTGGGGGCCCTCTCGGGCTGTCGTTGGACCCTCTTCGACCCTTTTTTGGTGCCCTTCTGGCCGTCCGGGGGCAACGTTGAAGGTTTGTCTCTTTCGGACGTTGTGAAAACCGAATGGGCGAGTATGCGAAAAATGTATGGTTTTCGAGAGGAAGCGTGCCGATTTCTGTTTATTGCGACCCTTTTGGTGCGCATCTTGGGGGCCTTCGGGGGCGTTCTGGCAGCTTCGGAGACCACCTGGAGGCCACCGTGGGCGTTTAGGGGCGATCTGTAGGCAAATCGTGGCCCCCCCGGAGCCCTCCGCCCCCCGTGGCGCGTTCGGTCCGGGGTCGAGCTGGGCGAAGGTGGGGTCGAATTGCCGGTTTGGGGCCCCTGGGGAGGGATTCTGGGGGGGGGAGCCTCACACGCCCAGAGACCCACAAGGGGTCGGCGCATTCCCCGGGTTTCCAAAACGTTTCATGTTCCGTAATGTTCCACAGTGGCTGCGCCGCTAGATGTTCTTGGAAATCTTGGAACGCATTGCGAGCCAGTCTTACCATGACATCATTTTCGCCTTATGGTTAGGGGGAAACGCCCTGGCCCTTTCGATGGATATTTGAGGCAGAGCAGTATGATGTGTATGCGTTGCGTTGTCGCCTCGTCAACATTTGTGTGAAGGAAACGGTGAACAAGTAGTTGGAGGGGCATTGGGGGGAGGAGGAGAACGGAGGGGGAGGAATATCATGAGCAGAGAGGGGAGGAACAGGAAACATAGGCGAAGCAAGGTCAAGGAGGAGAAAGAGGAGGAAGTGCAGGAGGTGCGACGGCTCTGGCGGTGAGCCGAATTAGGCCGTGGAGCTGCGGGGCCAGAGTTGCAGGCATGCCATCCCCAAAAAATGCAGGAGTTGCTGTGTGGTGGCATTATCCCGCCCCCGTGCCCAGGTCATGGACACGAGGCGTCGTACACGCCTGCGTGGGCCTCTTGGAAGGCCTCTTGGCAGGCTCTTGCGGGCCGCCTCTTGGGGACCTCTTGGAAGTGTCTTGGGGCCTCTGCGGCACTTATGTGGGGCGTCTTTAGGGCCCGCTGGCGATTTCAGGGGCCATTCTGTGGGAAGGGCTGCAACCATCACTTCGTCCCCCCCTTTTTTTCGGGCCCCAGTTGGGACAGTCTTTGGGGCGTTTGGGGCCTTTTTTTCGGGGCCGAGTTGAGGTGATCTTCGGTGTTTCTTAGGTCGCATTGGGCGCTCTTGATATTGAAAAGCCGAGTTATACGCACAGCCCGGAGATTCTCAGGGCACCCTCAAGGTTTCGACCCCCAGCTACGCTCCCGAGGCTCTGAACAAGTGTGTGTGTGTGTGTGTGAGAGAGGGAGGGAACAATTGTGTGTGTGTGAGTTTGAGTGTGAGTGTGTGTGTGTGAGAGTGTGTGAATATATATATATGTGTGTGTGTGTGAATGTGCGAATGTGTGTGAATGTGCGCGTGTGTGTGTGTGTGTGTTTGTGTGTGGTGTGTGTGTGTGTTATGTGTTGTGTTTGTGCTTGTATGTGCGTTTGTGTGTGGTGTGTGTGTGTGTTGTGCGTTGTGCGTTGTGTGTTGTGTGTTGTGTATTGTGCGTGTCTGTGTATCTGTGCGCCTGTGTGTGTCTGTGTGCGTGTTTGAGTTTTTTGGGGGGGTGCGTTTGCGTTTGTGTTTGTGCTTGTGTTAGCGTGTGTTCTCCAGCTGTCCACATTGCTGTGTGCAATTCTCGCGCGATCGCGTTCCGTCCATACGTTCGCTACGGTGGCGCCACCTGGCCGGCGGAGGGAAAATGTGCGTATTCCAGCTTGTCTTCAGGCGTTCCAGAAGTGTTGTATCGCTCCACCAGGAAGAGTTGATTCGCTTGGAGGTTGACTCCCCTCGTGCGTCCGCCAACTGGACTCACTGGCGCGCTGGAGATACAATAAGTGTGTGTGTGTGTGTTCCTTCTTCTTGGCTGGGCGCCGCTGATAATAGTCGAGGCGCTGAAATAATAATCACTTTGAATTCAGGAGGCGCTCTGGCTTCCGGGCCGTCAATTACATGTTGGACGGGGGGGCCACCTATTTGTGGCCAAGGTTCGCCGTCGCCAGGACACCCTTCTCGTTCGTTAGTCATTGCTTATGGCAGCACGATGGCCGTATGCCCCCGTCCTCTCGTAGGCCGCCCAGCGGCTTGTCTGCCCGGGGCGAGGTGCGCAGATGATCGTGGAGCTCGCCTCAGTGGACGCGTCGGACATGTCGATGATCGACCGTCTCCTCGCCAGGACCTGCCTCGAAACCTGCCCTTCTGGCAGCAGTGCGCTGTCGTCGAAGAACAACACATTTCATGAACATAAGTCTTCAGAGCTCCACGCGGATGTCTTGAATCGGCGTTGGGCCCCCCTCGGCGTCGCCTCCGGCGCCTCCCCCTGGCGCTCTCCACGCGTCAGGGAGCTGGGGCCCAGGGCCGTTCCAAGAAATCCGCTCAGAGTTTCGAAAGCTTATGGTCATGAAGTGGTTATCTTTTTACACAGCGGGGAGAACAGTTGTTATCCGTAAGGGCTTCGCCCCCTGCCGCCGGCCCCCTCTCTCGGAGAATGGGCCATGGAAGAGCTAAGTCATGAGGCCTTGGCGCTGTCGTGAAGCAGTATCGAAACTTCATGCGAAGCCGAGTCGCAATCAGCAAAACCAACTGATCACAAGAGGGGTTACCACACCTGGCGATTGGTAAGACGTGTATGGTTTAAGGGCTTGGTTACCACACCTTGCGATGAAAGGGCCGAGGGAGTTCTCGCAGTTTGGGTTACCACGCCTTGCGATGGATGTGCGTGATGGGTTCGAATTTCAGAAATGTGGCAAATCCCCTGTGTTTTTGGACCCTGACCCCGCGGATCTGCGTGAGGGGTGGCACCGAATTTCAGAAATGTGGCAAATCCCCTGTGTTTTTGGACCCTGACCCCGCGGATCTGCGTGAGGGGTGGCACCGAATTTCAGAAATGTGGCAAATCTCCTGTGTTTTTGGACCCTGACCCCGCGGATCTGCGTGAGGGGTGGCACCGAATTTCAGAAATGTGGCAAATCTCCTGTGTTTTTGGACCCTGACCCCGCGGATCTGCGTGAGGGGTGGCACCGAATTTCAGAAATGTGGCAAATCCCTTGTGTTTTTGGACCCTGACCCCGCGGATCTGCGTGAGGGGTGGCACCGAATTTCAGAAATGTGGCAAATCCCTTGTGTTTTTGGACCCTGACCCCGCGGATCTGCGTGAGGGGTGGCACCGAATTTCAGAAATGTGGCAAATCCCCTGTGTTTTTGGACCCTGACCCCGCGGATCTGCGTGAGGGGTGTCGATTTCGAGCCCCCCCAGCAATTCAGACAACGCGCCCAGGGGGTGCTAAAAATCCCGTTTGGGCCTCCCCCCCCCTCGCGCGGTCAATCAACTAGTTACAGTAACCAGCAAGAAGTCAACTAGTTACAGTAACCAGCAAGAAGCAGAACTGTAACACTGGAAACTAGAAACTACAACTGGTACAGGAAACTGCGAATCACGCGCCTCGCAGCCTGGTGGCCCCACAAGGGGGCCGGCGGATAAAATGTAACGTACGACCATACTGACTGATAAGCGAGGGACGGCGCCCACCAAAAGCATCATTCCGTGATTGCCGGCCGTTCCATGTTGTCAGCGTGCGCAGGTGCGCACCATTGCGCACCATTGCCGGGCTACCGATGGATTTTCCACGGGTTTGTTCGCCTTGTGACAACATTGAGCGGCGGATGCATCTTCAATGTTTGGGTGTGTGTTTCAAAACCGATGTTTCATTGGTCGGGGGCGGCCAGGAGTGGGCTGATGTGTAGGGGGGGGGTATCATGGCCAGGGCATTGATACCTCCCCAGATCTCACGGCGCCTCGTCTTGTTTCAGTACGTCCCCGGCCCCCCTTCTGGGCCGCGCTCATGCCGCCAGCCATGATTTGCGCCCCCCCCCCTCTTGGACGCCCCCCTCATTGACACCACCGAGTTGGGTCGCAGCCATGGGTGGTCTCAGTTTTCGCCTTACGGCGTCGTTTCCCCAGTGAGATGTTGTCCATGCACCTCGCAGCGAGTGTGCGATAGCGTTCCGCAGCATTGGCAGGCGCACGCCGCTGAAAGCGTCGGGCCCCACCCGCATTGTTTCAACAGTATTTCGGCTTCCATCCCCGCACCGATTTTGTTATACACTGTTGTCCACGGGTATGTTTGCCAGAGACGCCGCTTTTTCGCAGGGGTCCTCGTCTGCGCATCGTAATGTTGATTTGGCGGGCCTGGGCCTGAATGAAGCAGAACCTCCTAATCATCCTCCTCTCTCTCCCCCCAGATCCTCCCCACTCCTCCGCCCCGTCGCCCTCTACGTGCTTTTATTGCGCTTTCAAGGGTTAAACGGTTCTTCTTTTTACTGTTGAGCATCCCCGCCCTATCCCCCTTCCTGCTCCTTCCCCCCCCCTATGCTCCATGCTCCCTTCCTCTCCTCTCCTCCGTTTGATCCTCGACTCCAGGCTGAAATCGCACCGCCGACCCCTCAGGGCCCCAGCGAGTTCTTTGGCCGGCAGCTACGTAGCGAGGGACCACTTGAGGACCCGATAGCATTAAAGCTTTGACGGGTTATCCAGCGGAACGATGAATGACATAAACAAAAAAAATCAGAGGTCCGCGCGGACTGCTCGGGTCAGCGCTGGACCCCCTGACGGCGCCAGGGGCCCCGCCCCTGGCGCGCTCCGCTCGCCAGGCAGGGGGGGTCCAGCGCCGTCCGAGAAATCCGCGCGGACCTCCGAGTTGTTTTCTGTTCATTTCATTCTTCGTTCCCTTGATTATCCCAGAGGCAATTGAGACAGGTCCTGGGCGTCGGCGTGGGCTGCTGCGAGAGCCGTATCCTCGACCGTCTTCAAAAGCCACGTCGGTATGCCCTTTGGCACCGCCGGGGCGGGGGCACGGAGGGGCCCGATCGCCCCTTCGACAACAGGCCCCCGTCGTCCAAGTCTGTGATGTCGGGGAACTCCCGCCCGTCGCCGAGTGTCGGACTGGACGAAAGGGGGGGATAGGGAAAGGGGGGGTTACGAAATCTGCTGCATGCAGCTGGTTTCGGCCCCGCCGCCGGGCCCCTTCCTCGATACATGGGCGCCTCTGGCGCCGGGAGGCGCCGGGAAAATCAGCTACGTGAGCTGATTCTCAAACCCCCCTTTTGCTATCCCCCCCTTTCGCCCTGCCCGATCCAAATTTGTGATATCGGGGAACTCCCGCCCGTCGCCAAGTGTCCAGCTGACCATGGCCAGGGGAACAAAAGGTTGCATAAACATAAAATACTCAGAGGTCCGCGCGGATTTCTCGGATCGGCGCTGGACCCCCCTCCCTCCCTGGCGCGCGGAGCGCGCCAGGAGCGGCGCCGAAGGCGCCGTCAGGGGTGCCCCAGCGCCGATCTGAGGAACCCGCGCGGACCTCCGAATTTTTATGTCGCGGACCTCCGAGTTGTTATGTTTATGTAATTTTTGTTTCCCCCTAATGGCAGTTCCTTGCCACATTGCCCATCGGGGGTAGTTCAGATCCCACCCAGCGCCGAGCCCCCACTGTCACACGGCGAGAACATGTTAAGACGAGTTCGCCCTCCAATTGCCAAAGGGGCAAGGGGGGAAGCGATCTCACACTCTTGGAGGCCCCAAAGGGGTCGGCGAAAGTACCCCTGGTGCCAGATGTTGTGGAGGCGCTGCGATCGGACGTCAGGGCATAATGGAGTAAGTTGTCTTGATTGGTGTGCTCCCGCTCGGGCAGCATGACCCACGGTCCGCCGCTGCACCAGCGTCCGAGCAGGTCTGAGCTCAATGGGAATTTCGCTTACCAAACACGTCAAACCAGGGTCCGATAGAAAAGAGTTCAGCCACCATGGTGGGGGCACGGACTGGGGCCGCGGTGCGCGAGGAGAGGGAGGAGTTGGGAACAGGAGGACGACGAGGTGGAGAGATAGAGAGAGAGAGAGGAAAAAAAAAAAGAGACAGGCTGGCACGTATATTTCCCTAGGTCCGCAAGGACATGGTGGGTCGGCGCCAGGCCCCTCTGGCGCCGCCCCCGGCGCCCTCCGCGCGCTCGGGAAGGGGTGCGGGGAGGGGTTCCGCACGCCGATCCAAGGAAGCCACGGGAACCTCAGAGCGTCAAGTTTGTGGTAACCCGTCTTTCTACCATGAGACAGCGGCGGAGGGAGGTGGAGGATCTGCCCTCCAGGACGTCGATGGTGGTTCAGATGGTGGGAGACCAGCGCCGGAGGGGCGTCAGAATCCGTTTCAAAACGCTCTCCAGGAGAGCTCGTGGGGTCCTGTTTTGGGGAGAGATTTATCGGGCAGGAACGTTCCAGGGTGATCTGGGAGCAGGCAGAGCAGCCCCAGCACTTCCTCTGGAACCAGCTTCGAAGGGCTGCGTGGCAAGGACTTGTCGATTCGGGAGTCCAGCTCCCCACGTGAAGTTTCGGGCAGGAGGTGAATAAAGATAACCAGCGACCCCCCATCACCAATTCCCCCTTTGCTACCTGTGCTACTCCCTCTTTTGTCACCCCGATGAACTTTGTGGGTATCGGTTCCAGGTGGCTTTCTGGGGCCACAGTCAAACAATGAAGGACGAAGGTTGTTCTTTGCAACAGCTGCTTTACGGCATCGAAGTGGTTCGGCGGCGGCCTTGCCGTGCGCCCTGGCCACTCGGCATCCCTACCGTGGGTCCCGACCTTGCACCACCCTCCACGGCCGTTCGTTCGTCCCGCAGCTTTGCCCAGCACCCGTGCTGCAGGACGCGCAGTCACTCCGAGGCGGGTCGGCTGCTGCCCCCGCCCGCGCGCCCGCGCAGGATCGACAGGCACGACCCGCCTCCGCAGAGATCCACGGCCTCCAGGGGCGCGAGGGACGCGGGCCGCGGCCTGCGGGACCGGGACGGGGCGCCCAACGATTGAGTCGGGCATGTCCCTCTACTTTTTTGGTTTTTTTCTATCTTGTTTTTCCTTCAGAATCCGCCTGTAGGAGGACATGTCCGACCTAACCCAACGAGCGATGACGGTGTTGGCGACGGCGAGAATCGCAGCCGAGCCACAGAGAGGTGTCGAATCGTGGGCTTCTCTTTCTCCCAACCCTCCTATGCTGGGCTCTCGTCCTGAGCAGAGCACCGTGACCTCCAAGTGTCCTCCTTCCCCCTCCTGCCTCCTCTCCTCTCTCTATCCTCTATCCTCGACCGAGCCATAGAGGAGTGTCGAGTCGTGGGCTTTCTTTTCACGGCCACACCACTCTGCACCGTGGGCCGCTGACCTGTGGCAGTGCGTTGCTCGGCGCGGCCGGCGCCTCGCACGGCAAAGCATTGCCGTGGGTCATCCGCCTTGGTCTACAGTTGCGGTAGCGGGTAGTAGGGGCGACCGTGCCTGGGTTATCGGGACCACCTCCTTGCAGAAATTGAACGTCCTGATCACGAGGGACAGAGCGTCTTCTGGACTCCCGTGAGTATGGTGAGAGTGATGATGGAGATGATGGTAGCGAGCATGATGAATGTGGTGAAGATGGCGATGGCGGTGTTGTTGATGATTATGATTATGATGGTGATGGGGCACACCACATCCGAACGACGACGCCCGTGCCAGACATAAAAGTGCGGCCGGCGCTGGTCTTGGTGTTGGTGACGTGAGTGATGACGACAATTACGATTGTCTTGTGCGAAGGATAACAATGATTGCATGATTCATGTACTGTGAAGGCCTCACGGCCGGTGCCGCCGACCCTGAAGGTTTTGGCCGTCGATGGCGACGGGATGTGTGACAGGGTAGGCGGAGGAGGAGGAGGAGGAGGAGGAGGAAATGGAGGAGGAGGAGGAGGAGGAGGAGGAGGAGTATGGAGAGGGGGGAAGGATGGAGAACAGTGCAGTGGGAGGAGGGTGAGGAAGGATGAGGAGGAGGAGGAGGAGGAGAGGAGGAGGAGGAGGAGGAGGAGGAGGAAGGAGGAGGAGGAGGAGGGAAAGGAGGAGGAGGAGGAGGGGAGGAGGAGGAGGGGGAGGAAGGAGGAGGAGGAGGTGAGGAGGAGTGAGAGGAGGAGGGAGAGGAGGAGGGGGTAGGTAGGACAAGGAGGAAACACAAAGCTGAGGAGGAGGAGGAGGAAGAGGAGGAGGGGGAGGAGGGGGAGGAGGAGGAGGAGGAGGAGGAGGAGGAGGAGGAGGAGGAGGAGGACGACGACGAGAAGGAGGAGGAGGATGGAGGAAGGAGGAGGAGGAGGAGGAGGAGGAGGAGGAGGAGGAGGAGG